CATCTCCTGACACAAATTCACGAATTCAGTTTCTACCCCCGTGTTTTTCGTTTTTCATCAGCATAAGCATTGGATTATGTGAGGAAATGATTAATGAGCTAAAAGCCGCAGGATACAACAAACTTCTACAAATAGCATTTTTCAACGTACCAGAAATAAAAGTGTGGCCTCAACTATAGATACGTAAATATTCACTTCGGTCTGCATAATAACAACAATGCTTGCGCTATCCGAAGTCAACTTGCTGGAAGTTCAATGTGAGCACGAATAAAGAATCGAGAAAAAAGTGTCACGAGCTTCTATGCTTCGACGCGGCAAGCTCAGAAAGGAGTAGCATTATTTTTGCGATTTGTGTGACTTTCTTTGCCTCGAAATGCGAATGACAATGGCAGTTTTTTTGAGAGAGTTCTATAGTTCTGAAATTTGATCGTCACATTCTACAGTAATAGGTAGGTAGCCCAGAAAAGAAAGATGAATACGGGTCCGCATAAAGTACAGTACACCCTTTCATGCTACCGATGATTAGGCACCACTGAGCATGGATTTAGTAAGCCCGTTCCCCACTGGTCTTGACGAGGGATAAGCTCACAATTTTTGGAAGAATACCGACACGGACAACTTGACGCAGTCTTGCCACTGGTCAAAAAAAAGAAGACACAAGCTAAGGGCGCGTCAGTCTCTCCCCTTCCCCCCCCCCGTCGGAATGCCCCATCGTCCGATACAAGACAGTCCCCAGGGAAATGTGTATATTATTAGGTTGTCCGGAAAGTTCTCAGCGTTTTGAGTGTTTCACTTTAAACGATCATAACTTTCTTAATACTCATCGGATTTAATCGAAATAAGCACCGTTCGAATCAGCACACTTTTGCCAATGTGACACCAGTCGATAAATCCCATCAAAGAAAAACTGGGTGGTCGAGAATCCACGAAATCCACGAAGGCTTTTTTGCCTGGTCCTGATTGATGAAGTATTTTCCAGCAAGGAAGTTCTGAAAATGTTTGAAAAGGTGGTGAAAGGTCTGGAGAATATGGCGGGTGAGGTAGAACTTCAACCCCCAATTCGTTCAATTTATGGATAGTGATTTGTGAAACGTGTGGGCGGGCGTTGTCATGCAAAAGAATCGGACCCTTTCTGTTGACAAGTGCTGGCTGCAGTTGATTCGGTACAGTTCGTCGATTTCTTTGAGTAGGACTCTGCTTTGATGGCTTTGACCTGGTGACAAAAGTTATAGTGGATCACACCAGCCGATGACCACCACACTGTGACCATAATCTTTTTCGTGAGGATTCGGCTTTGGAAATTGCCTCGGTGGTTCGTCGGCATCCAACCACTGTCCGGAACGTCTCCTGTTATCATACATGATCCACTTTTCATCACAGGTGACAAAAACGGGTCGTTTCTGTTGCGCAAAAGCAGTGAAGAAGAAACCTCGAGACGTGCCAATTTCTGCCGGTCACTCAAATTGTGGGGCACCCACTTGTCGAGTTTTTTCACCTTCCCAATGCGTTTCAGACCATCCGCAACAGTGGATTTGCCAACGCCTAGCTTTTCTGCAATCTCTCGAACTGTTTGGGATGGGTCAGCCTCCACAAACGCCTTCAAATCCTCGTCAGGTATTGCTTTAGGTCGACCGCTACGAGGTTCATCTTCAAGCTGAAATCTCCAGAACGAAATTCGTCAAACCACTGTCGCACGGTGCTTCCTCCAACACTATTAGGCCCCCACACCTGGTTAATTTGTCGAGCTCCTCTCGACCGCGGTATTTGGACCAACGATTTGTCGGTTGAAGAAAAATACCGTCCGAAGTTGCTCTCTTGACATGCTTCAGAAACAGGGCACAGCATTCGATGGGGATTTTGGTCGAGCTCGTACGACCCCCCCCCTTTTTGGGGGGTTCGGTACGACGACCCCCCCCCTTTTTTTTGGTACGCGTCCATGTGCTCTCGTGGCCCGTTTGGTTTTTCTTCACACAAAAACTACAAGCTTCAACTCGTCAGCTTTCTTTGTAAAAACAGAAACAAATATCAGGTCGTTCAGTATGAAATGTCCGTTTTTCAGAAGTGCATAGTTCGAGAGTCCGTATCTAAGGCAAAACGCTCCGGCAGTCCTTGGTACTGAGTTTTGGTAAAGGTGCAGCCTCCCTCTTTCTTACCTTCGGTGGACCTCCGGCTGCCGTGGAATCTGACTTTTTTAGAAAGGTTTTGTAACGGACCAGTGGAAAGTTCCAAATTCGATGCGCTGTTGTCCTTTGCGGAGTACGTAGTTCAGCCGTGGAAGCACGCAGACAGGCCGTTCGGAAATCACGTTCGGTCTTTTGGAGAGGATGCCCTAACGACGACGAAACAGTACGTCGGATGGCTTTATGCAAAGTTTGAATCCGGCGACTTCGATCTTCAAAATGAGTCGAGAGGACGGCCCGAGTGCAAGCTGAACAACGATGAGCTTAAAGCCGTAGTGGAAGCTGATCCACTCAAGGTAACTCGAAGAAGTTAGCGGCAAGTATATTGAGATGTAATGTTAATGGTGACCGATCTTCTCTCATTTTAAGCAAATTGCAAAGAGTAGGAAGCTGGACCGTTTGACGGTACCGCCACGATCATTGGGCACCGCGATCGTCAGAAGAGGTCCGCCCTTGGGCGTTGCCTCTTCCTTACCTTATCAGCAAAAAAGCGAGCGTCTTCTGTACACCGTTGAGTCAATGCTGCGTAGAAGTGATCCAATTCGAGAAGGAAGCGGTTCTTAACAGTGGGTTGGGCAGAGTCGGAAACACGCAAGAAACATACGCTCCGAAGCCGACCCTACACAGAGCGAAGACTATGGTATCAGTTGGTGCGGGTTCTCCGCAGGCGGAGTGATTCACTACAGCTTTACGAGACCTGGTCAGGCGATCACGGCGGAGGCGTACTGTCAACAGCTGGAGGAAATGATGGAGAAGCTTGCTGTTATGCAGCCGAGAATGATTAACAGAGACCGACCGCTCCTACTGCAGGACAACGCTCGGCCACATGTGGCAAACTCGACCTTGTTAAAATTACAGGATTTGGACTTGGAAACTCTCGTTCATCCTCCTTACTCTCCCGACCTAGCACCTACAGATTACCATTTCTTTCAAGCTTTAGATCACTTCTTGCAGGGAAATTATTCAATTCTTAATGATGAGTGGTACGAAATTGCCTTTCATGATTTTATTGCCTCTCGCTCCCCAGATTTCTATAGAGATGGAATTAATAAGTTACCTTTAAAATGGCAAAGATGTGTTGATAACTTAGGATCATATTTTGATTGATTGTAATCTTGGCGATTGCTAATTTAGAAGATATATGATAACTGAGTTGAACTCTACAAAAAAGCGGACATTTCATACTGAACGACCTATATATACATGGGAAAAAAACTAAAAACCACTATACAAAACCACTATATACAAAAACTACTAAATCAAAAAACAACTTCAGTGAATAGGACATAACGAAAAATAAACAAGAGGATCCCACCCTCCCTACCCGTTAGGCTGCGTTTATACTTTGCGGCAGCGTAGCGTAGCGTAGCGCAGCGTAGCGTAGCGCTTCCAGCGTACGCCAGCGGCAGTGCCGAAGAGAGGATGCATATCGATCTAGCTTCACCAGCGTCACCAGCGGCACGCTGGCGTACGCTAGCGGCACGCTAGCGTACGCCAGCGTTTCTCCAGCGTTTCACCAGCGTTTTGCTAGCGCTTGCAGCGGCAGGGGAGTAGAGACTATGGGAGAGCTGGAGGGTACAAAACTCATCGATTGCGCGTTCTCTCCACTCGCCCTTAGTCTCTACAATGCACATCGCTTCTGCGTCTCCGACGGCCCCATAGTCTCTACGATGCACATTGCTTCTGCGTCTCCGACGCCACATAGTCTCTACAATGCACATCGCTTCTGCGTCTCCGACGGCCATATGGTCTCTACAATACACGTCGATTCCGCTTCTCTCACGGCCACATAGTCTCTACTCCCCTGCCGCTGCAAGCGCTAGCAAAACGCTGGTGAAACGCTGGAGAAACGCTGGCGTACGCTAGCGTACGCCAGCGTGCCGCTGGTGACGCTGGTGAAGCTAGATCGATATGCATCCTCTCTTCGGCACTGCCGCTGGCGTACGCTGGAAGCGCTACGCTACGCTGCGCTACGCTACGCTACGCTGCCGCAAAAGTATAAACGCAGCGGCTTCCGCCACCGCCAACGAAGCCCTCCCTCGCCGCCCGCAACGAAGCCCACCCTCCCGCCCGCCTTCCCGGCACCTTCACACGAAGGTGCCAGAGCTCGTTCCATCTTCTAACATCTGCGGGGTCGTAATGCGTCCCGACTCCAAGTGTTCAATTTTCCGCTTGTTCACGTCGACCTTTCTGGCAACAGAAAGGTCGACGTGAACAAGCGAATTTCTTTCTGCTTCAAAAAGTCTTGGGAAAAGGGGTTTATCAAGCAATGGTGAAACGGCAATTATACCATCAGATAGCGCAAAAATTCTCTTCAGGATGTACTACTGAGACGCAAGGGAGAATGAGTTTTTAATCAGCAATGAATGTACAAAAAATAGTAACACAAAACGCTGAGAACTTTCCGGACAACCTAATATTTCACCCTTTTTTGTAGTGATAGAAGGGGAAATTACACTACTTTGTGGGCTGAACCCATTCCCTGATTACGGCTTAGCGTTCTCTCCCCACAAGGGTTCCTTCCGGTCCCTTGAGCCCCAAGCTCAATCATAATCGGGAAGTCGTCGTTTATTTCTTTAATAGCTCCCTTCCCTCACACATAGCATTGAGATTACATGCCTGACAATGTTTAAAACTGAACATGCAACAAGGGTGCTCACAGTGATGAAAACTTTGCGAAGAGGACTGAAACCTCGCGGAGCGCTGAGAGCCTAGTGTTATTTCCTTGTGTAATTCCTGTTATGATGCTTATTATCTACACAGTGAAAACTGTCTGCCTACTCGTCAACAAAACGAGAAAGGAAGAGTTTTGAAGCCCCGTCTTACAGACGTCATTTATCCACATGGCTAGAACAAAGAGTAGCGCGCGATTGTTTTCTGGTGGTGGGGTTGTTTATGAGCTGCTTCGCTGCTTCACTTTAGCTTGTATTTGTCCTTACAATACACATGAGCTAGCAAAAGGAAGCAACGAGTTGTCAAATGCCCACTTCCCCTAAAAGAATAGCGCCTAGAATGTTGGAATAAAATTGGAAGTCTAGTGTAGGCATTGTATTTTGAAACAGATGCAGACGATTCCAGATTGCAAAATAGGAATTCCAAACTCGTCGGGAAGCCTTTGGGGCCCTCCTTCAAAAGCTCCTTTCATGGTGCTTTCTATTCTTGTTATTTGCTTCAAACATTCGCTTATGTGATTTCTCATCATTTGCTCGACTATCCACCCTTTCCTGTTACTTCTTTTGTTACAAAAATGTCCCTCTAAAATAAACTTTGCTGAGGAATAAGTTTCTATTTATTCGTCCGAATCAGTGTCGCGATCAATCGCGCGCGCGACGATCGCGACATCGCGCGCACTTATGTAATGGCGAATTGATCTAACGGACTTTATCGGAGCAAACAGCAAGCAAGTACCAGGATCAAGAGCGCTGAGATCTTGTAAAGAGTTCGCATCAAGTCGATGCGCGTAAGCTTCAACTATATCAGACTCGGTTATCCTTTTAAGGACAAATTATCGCAGTTTGGTTAAAAATACGGATACATCATGATTAGGAAAGCCTGACCAAGCGAAAGCGGAACATAAACATCTCGATTAAGCGTTGCCTTTCCTCTTCTCAAAAGCACAAAAGTAAAACTATATAATGTGTTCTTAATCAGACTATCTCTCACCGCTTCGCTGAGGGCCTCTATAAACACAAATTAAGGCTTAACGCAGTAACAAGAAGAAGCTAACACCAACTCTCCGCCCGTTGTTGACAGGTATGGCAGATAGTTTTTCATTCGTGGTGATTCGGAATGAAGTACATATCAGGAATAGAGAGGAGGCACTCAAATCCCTTTTGAATGGCCAATGAGTTCGCAGTGCCAAGATGTCACGCCCATCTCAACGAGTAACAGTTGCGCAATCATCAAAGTCAGTTCAAATGTGTCGGGATGGTGCACGCGTGGCTCCCTTAAAATTGCACAGGTCCTCAGCGTTGAAGTGGCGAAGTCCTCATGTGTGTCGGGTAAAGATTGCAACGTAAGTGTATTAACAGGTGGCGGGCATATAAACAGACTTTTTTTATTCCTCGACTTTTCAAGGCGCTATAAGTTTACAGCTTTATCAAATTCTTATCGGACATTATCATCTTTGTAAAGTGGGCGGAGCTTCCATTAGTGGGCGGGGCTGCTGTCACAATAAAAAAGTGAAAATTCGGAAGAAAAATCAAAATTCCGCGAAAAACGAAAGTGGGCGTGGTCAGAGGGGCGGGGCTTAGTGTGCTAGTGTGTAAATGCATGACTATATTCGTTTTGTGAAGATTGAATGTGAAAAAACGACGTCGAAAAAAGTTATAAAAATTCAGAACTTACGTCACTTCATTGTGAAGTGGGCGGAGTCATATGTGTCGGTAGCAAACCTATTCAGTTAAATGTGTGTGTCAAGTAGCAAAAGTGAAAAAAAAATTCGAAGAAGCAGAATTCATAAAACATTTGGAAAACCACGGCCGCGCTAAGAAGTGGGCGGGGTGTTGGGGCGGGGCTTGCAGCAGTACCTAGTGTGGTCTAGTTCTCAACTGCCCATTGTAAGGGGTGTGTCCGATTTGGTTTGAAAAGTGCCCATCTTGATATCATCTAGTGATGGAGGGAGGATGGGACGAGATGGAAGGGGCAGAAGACAGAAAGTGTTGGATACGAGTAGGGGGCAAAGTGCAAAGATTCCTGTTACCACTCCAACCTTCGACGTGCCTTGTCTCGTCCTTAACATCTTGGGAAGGTGTGCCAATGGGAAAGACACAATTGCTATGTGTCTCCGCCCACACGATCAGCATAGACTGTGTCTTCGCGATTGTTCTAATCACATAGTTTTTTCTTCCCGTTTTCTAGAGTTTCATTGAAAATTCACGATATTCCGGGACTGATCTGATGCGAAGCGAATGGAACACCATGCTACACCAGTGCTTTCCCGACTACGTGAAAGCAAAGGCTCGCGGATGACAAGCCAGTAGCGACGATGCTGATGCAGATGCCGTTGTCGTTGCAGCTATCGAATCGCCTGAAATCAAATCTGAACTCTGAACTCTGCAGCTGCTTCCAGCGCTTAAATGTTTTTCGACTCTTTCTTACTCACTTGTAATATCCGATCGATTATGTGATATGTACGATATGTCACAGGTTTTCAATTTTTTTTGTTATTGTTCATTTATGTGATTTTCTTTGTGTGCTCCATTGTTCAATCCACTATATCTCTTGCCAATGTTTCATTTCACTTGCCACTATACAGATGTGATGCGCGCCGTTCATATTGCCTTATCTTTCTGATGCCTTGCAAAACGAATTCTCCGTAAACGGGTGCCTGTTGTATGTTCTGCTTATGAGAGAAATCTTTTGTATTTTTTCTACATATAATTTGCACTACTGGAGAATTACCATATATAGGTTGGAAGGAAAGTCCTGTCAGCGTTTTTTGAAAAATTTTCAGTTTTTGATTCTCGATGCTCGTACATGACATAACATGCTATGCTTGTAGAGAACATTTCTAGAGCTTCCCTGCAAGAGATGTGTGAGGGCGCCTGCGCTTTCCTGGGTTTAATTATGATGTCACTTTCACAGGAGTATCTTCGGGTCATCATCTTCTACCAGTGGCCCCGGGGCACTGGAGCCACGACAGCTGTCCGTAACATCATCAGTGTATTGGGGGAGGTCACTACTACCTTCAGGACCGTTCACTTTTAGTTCGCTCGCTTTGCGAAAAGGGGCTCGATCCTTGAAGACAAA